TGGAAGTATCACTGAGATGACTTCCCCGATGTAGAAGGTCGAATTGAATGGACGATGTCGACTTGGGACAGGGATGAGACTCACGGAAGCGATTCTGCCAGTGGCAGAGGCAGCCGCAACGGTGCGGCTAGACTGCCGCAAAGCGTTCCTGAACATTGTGAAAAGGGTTCAGAGGTGTGGGAGAGTGGTTTCTCTGAAGGAGAGATGTAATTGGGGGGGAGGGGGGGAAAGGGAAGAAGAGGAGAAAGGATTGTGGATGGAGGAGAGGAGAGCTTTGTCGTCGGGGTTGGGAGGGATTCTCTCTCAGAACTGGCACTAATCCTAGTTTGCCGAGCCTCACCAACCTCCGAAGCCGCCCTAGTGCGCTCACGGGACAACCCACCCGTCCCCAAGAAAACGAAAACGCCGGGTGATGTATTTATTATTTTTTTATCTCGAGAAAACGATCGTCTATCTGATTTTTACCTTTACATTATGTTTCTATTCTTCTGAATGATTCTAGTCCCCGTAAGACAACCCTATACTTTGGTCTTCATAAAAATAAACGGGTTGAAACATACCTAGCACGCCGTGGCTGGTTGCTTGGTTACTAGGCTCTCCCGGGCCACCTGTCCGTTCCCAATTTTCATTTCCACTGTATTTCAGTTTCTCTCTCACTCTCGGATCTGCGGATACTGCTGGTTGGCTGGCTTACTCATCTGCATTTTCGTCGCAGCAACCGCCCGCAGCAGCCCGCGCACTGCAGCAAGCACAGAGGCCCTGCTAGTCTAGTAGCTGCCCACGAATGCCAGTGCTGCTGCCAGTGCCAGCAAACCAAAAATTGCCTTGCTTTGCTTGACCGGTTGTTCCGGAGGGAATTCTTTCCCCGTCTCCATCTCCATCTACTACTGGGCTGTCCATGCATCTACAACGGAAAAACCCTTCCAGGCGGTCAATCGGTTGAGACGTCGTTTTTCACACCCTCTTTTCTATTCTAGATCATCTCTTCTCTTTTTATCTTCTCTCATGGGTTGCAGTTCCGGAGTAGGTTGCTGGCGTCGCTGAATGGCCCTTGGGTGCCAACCCGAACCTTGCCGCAGCAAACCCTGTCACCCTCCAATCCTTTTCCGAATTCAGTAACTTACATCATGCTCCACTTTAACCTGAGGTCTAAGATTCCTACTCCAGTACAGTAGCTTGAACCTACCAGTTCAGACAACATTTGCTTTATTTACTTGAGAATCTGCAACTCACTCATGGTACCAACCATCAGACAAATTTTTGTCCTCACATGCATTCTCAAAACACCACTTGCTGCACTCAGACGTTCCGGCATCACCTTGTAGACATGCTGCCAAATCGGAAAGACCGCTATTGTCGCTTTGGAAATAGCCAGACAACCTTGATTACCACCGCACCGCAAACTAAGAACCACTTATAGCTCTCATACTGGATTCGCGGTCCGATCAATTGCTTGCCTTGTTCTGCTGGGCCTTGAATGCCGCGACCTCCTTGTTCACACTCTCATGGTACCTCTTCTTCAGCTCGGGGCGATAACCGAAGAAGAACAGAATCTCCATCCAGATGAAAAGGGGAGCGAGCAGCAGAGCCTGCACCAGATTATCCAGCAGTGCAGGGGCCCGTTTCTCGAAGGCACCATGGCCGACGAATTGCGCCAACCACGAAACCACGTGAATGCCACCAAACCAGTAGTTGGCGCTCGTGCCGTAGGTACTGAGAAGGTGATTCGCACCGGCTGCACTGCCGATGATGAGCGGCGTCGCTAGGGCACCTGCTACGGGCTCCAAAAGGATGTAAAACGTCGAGTATACTATAGCAGCGATCGTCCCAAGGTTGAGAGGCAGAGTCTCAACCTGCAAAGCCTCGGGCGTAGGGATGAGGGTTGGTGTGTTAGATGCCTAGTAAGTAGCACGATATCAGGGCGTCTGTTGCTGGTTGTCCGGGGTTGAGTGTCATACCAGGGCAATGCCAGTGAAGAGAAGTATCGGCACACATGTCATGTGAATTGCAACATTCACCTAAAAGAAAAAGGTCAGGGACTGAGGCTTGCGACGATATATAGAAGAGCTTTGCACGTACGGGATTATTGTGGTAGGCGCCATACTGGGAGATGTGTTAGTTAGCGGCTGACTTTGTTGATCGGAGGGGCGGCGGGTGCCGCAGAATGGGCCTCACAAAGAGTAGCTGCTTTTCAAGATTTAAAGCCATGGTGACACTGAAGATGCAGGGTCTTGTCGGGCAAGGCGAAGAAGCAGGGAGATGGAGAAGACCGATATCCAGACCGAGAAGACTACTTTTCCTCCCCACAACAAGGTGTTGCCTGATCGGGTGGAAGGATAAGACATTTATGCCAAACCGTTTGTTGCTTGTGCAAACGTCATTCGTTGTACAGAGACTCAACAAGGGCCGAGGATATTGTGAATTCTTACACCCTTCGTCTCATGATTGTACCTCCGAGGTACTGAAATTCTCTCACGAGGAAGCAGATTACCCACCAATCCAACACCCTGGCGTAATGATGTGTATCTGTACGGTAACTCTCGTTACCCTCCGCCATCATCATGTGACTCGGGCGAGCTCCCGCGGATCAGACACGGTGATTGTCGCTCGATTGACAGCGGAGTCAAATCACCTGGTCGCTCTTGAAGTTCCGTGGGCTGCCTTCAGTTCTCTTTCAGACTGGGGTCACTTTTTGTTCGAACCCACCTCTGCATTGTTCTTTGTTTAACACGTCTCCTACCAGATTTTACGCGCGCTACGAGTTGTTGATACTAATCCTTGAGCTTCAATTGCCATTGCTCTTTGCGCATTTAGCACCACGATCACGATCGCTACACGATTCTTGCAAATTGACTCCGTCTCTTTCGAAAACATCGGAACGACAAGACGCTTTCGTTCGCTCCGACCTGGGCATTGATAACCAAGGCTACTGGGTACCATTCTTCGTGTTAACCGCATCTTCGACCTCCGATCATCGCGCGTGCAGTCTTGGAAAGCAAAAGGAAGATCAGACACCATGTTCTTCCTCAAGGAAGAAGTCAAGGTTATTACCTTGCACCCGTCCTTCTTCGGACCCAACATGCGGGAATATCTCATCACCCGGTTAAATGAGGAGGAGGAAGGTCGGTGTACGGGCGATCACTTTGTGATCTGCGTCATGGACATGGTAGATATCGGCGAAGGACGTGTGCTGCCCGGCAGCGGACAAGCGGAGTACACGATCAAATACCGTGCAATCATCTGGAAACCGTTCCGAGGCGAGACTGTACGTTGCGAAGAGTCGCCGCCACGGCTAACCTCAACGCTGACCGTGGTAATTGCAGGTTGATGCGATTGTGACCTCTGTCAAACCTACTGGAATCTTCACTCTTGCGGGACCGTTGTCTGTGTTCATTGCGCGAAAGGTATACCGAACATTAAGCGTGAGGAGGTTGGTCTGAACTTGAACGCTAACGGACTGATGAAAAGAACATTCCCTCTGACATCAAATGGGAACCCAACACGGTACCGCCCCAGTATACGGATCATGCAGACCAGGTGATCGAGAAGGGAACGAGCCTGCGGCTCAAGATCCTGGGTGTGAAGCCCGACGTTGCGGCAATCAATGCCATTGGTACCATCAAAGAGGATTTCTTGGGGTGAGTTATGGCCCATCACTACGGATGAACGGTCTACTGATGCGCACGACTTTCTACCAGGCCCTTGTAATCTGCTTGGGATGATACTTTCCTCTTCGTATTTCTTCTATCTGAGGATATTGACGCCGCTACGAAGGAAGCCTGAACTCTTTGGCCTGTTGTACCACCACTCGCATCACAGAGACAACCGTAGCATCATCGACTCAACTTGATGTCCGGACGGTCCGCTTGCTGAGGCCTTACACAAGCGCATCGAACAGTCTCTCCAAGCGGGATATCATTTGGGGGGATGGTATCTTGCTTATCCTGGCAAAAAAAGCCCGCGCAGGCGGACAGGGCTGCCTCGTCGCAGGAGCATCGGTCTCGCACATGGCTATTGTGTGTATGGCAAGGCAACACAAGACAAGACAAGAACAACGAGAACGGATGGTGGTTGGCTCGGAGCCGTGATTGGCTACGTAATTTCTATAAAGAAAAAGCGTTGTTTTGTACAGTCAAAAATGAAATATGGTAGGAGTAACTTCGAATAGAATTAAATAGATCAAAAATAACTATTTGTATTGTGGATTTACTTCTTGGTTCAGGTGCAGGCACCTAGTATGCCGTGTATAAACACCGTACTACACCTAGAACTAAACAAGAGAAGGTGCCCGCATTGCACTCAGCGCGTTATTCATGCAGCTGCTTGTGCTTGTGGGGGAGTGACCGAATGCATCACCAGTTGCCGGAGAAACGGATTGTGAAACGCTGGTGTGTCCAGTCTCCATCGTCGGAGCCGTGCGCAGGCAAATTCCCCGGTCTGTCCGTGGCAGGAGATGAGAGTATTGAATGCTGCTGATGTTATGGGGATTGCTCGATAGACCAAGAAGGCTGACAATGTTTTGAGAGAGCATTGATCCATACTATATGTAGTCATTGGTATTGGATGGAGAGAAATGTGTTTTGGACAGCATTCACTAAACATATAAACATGGAGGAATAACAAACACAATCACCCCATAAGTTAGGGAAGAGTAAGTTAGGTAGTAAGTAGTACGCATAGTTAAGCCATTCTAACCGAAGCCCTCTCAGAGCATGGGCCCAAATTACGCATGTGAATCAGGACGGAGTGGACTAGGACTACCTAGTCATTGGCTGCACCTCCCCGTCTTGCACTGACTGACGACTTTCATTACACTGCCTGCGCTGTTGTCCCTCTTCTCTTTTGGGGGTCTCTCAGCACTACCAGGCACTGTACTGTATACACAGACACTACTACGCTACTCTCTTTCACATTTCAGACACCGACTCTCTCCTTCTCTCTCGCTACTCCAATTTCTCACTCTTGACCTCTGTTTCCCCCCACATCTTGCCGTTTTCTACTTGTACTTTCCCTCCGCCAACAGCATCCGGCTGTGTTCTGTCCTCTCCCTCCCAATCTCCCCCGCATCCCTTTACATTCGTTTCTGAAACTCAACCAACCCAGTCGCAGAAATCATGTCTTTGAAAGATGTGTATAGCGGGTTCCTGACCAACCCGAAGTCGGCTCCGTTGGCCACCGATGCGTCCCTCGTTTACATCACGACCACTACCAAGGTAGACGGTGACGCTGCGATTGTCAGCCATTTCAGCAAACAGCAGCGCCTCGTCAAGACCAAGTCGGAGACCATTCTGGACGCCTTCGAAAGCACCAACTCTCTCTGCTTGGATATTGAAACTACCCTGGAATTTGTGTCTGGCGGGGGGGCGTACCTTCCTCAGCTTGACGACAATTTCCTGGCCGATCATGTCGCTACCTTTCCGACGGTAAATATGCGCCCAATACCCGTACACTATCCATACGACTGTGCCAAGCTAATCAGATACTTGAATGCATTTAGGTCCACATTGTTCGCTTCAATGCTCATCAGCAAATCCAGAATGTCCGTATCTACTGGGACCAAGCTTCGTTACTGAAACAAGTCGAAGTGATCGGTTCGCGTGCTCGCGGTTGGCCCATTCGTGATGCCAAAGACCAGTTTCGCCTTCTCAAATCTGCCATCTCCTCGAGTCCCAGCGATCACGGACCGGGGTCAACTTCTGCGCCTGCCCCACCTGCCTCCACAGAGGAGAAAGCGCGTGTTCCGGAGCGCCAGATCGCCTCTCCAGGGAAAAAGTACATCAAGGACCCCCATGCCGCGGACTCCTTGTTCGAACTTCTTTCGCCAGGCAAGGACAGCAAGGACCGAGGAGAACCTGTGCGTGCCCCGCGTGCTCCTGCGTCTGCCCAGCCTCCAGCGCGCGACTACGGCGAGCTCTTCCTCAGTACCGAAGGTGACTTCGACAACGATACTCCCGACGCGTCGCCATCCAGAAAGCGTATCCCCCCTAAGGCCGGTACCAAGAACTTGCAACCCTCGCGCATCTTTGATCATGATGAGACCGCCACCAAAGAAGGACTCCAGCAGATTGCGTACAAGGCTCACCCCAAACGTTACGACCACTTTGAGCTTGGCGGGGATAACAGCACTCGGGAGGTCCATGAGAAGCCTGGGCGCCCTGTGTCTCGTCAGGCCCCTCACTGGGACTTTGAAGACTTTGTCACCCCCGAAAAGCCCAAGCGTCAACTTCGAGGAGAGGAAATCCGTCACTTTGGTTGGGGCGATGATGAGCAGGAACCTACATCCGTCCCAGTTCGATCACGGGCGCAGCACTCCCGTCCTGATGCCGAAACTCATTTTTCGGTGACCGAGACTCCCGAAGAAAGACCAGGCGGCCGCATTATCAGCTCATTCCAGAACAAAGGCTTGGGCCTTTACAAGAACCACCTTTTCGACAACAAGGAAGACGATGAATTCTCTCAGAACGCAAACGCGCCCCTCTCTAGAGTCAACAACAATGGCGCCAACCGTAAGAAGGAGCTTGAGACCCACTGGGATATGGCCGACGAGTCGCCTCGTGATAGCAAGCGCAACGCGGAAAACAGAAAGCCTATTCCCGGAGACCGTCAAAAGGCAGTTAAGGCGCTGGAGCCATCCTGGGATACCTATGACCAGTCACCTGAACCCACGAAGATGGCGCCCCCTCAGCGGCAGAGCGTAAGAAACCACAACCAGCGGAGTTGGAACTTCGGTGCTGAAAATTGATCGCTGCATCGCTAAGCTACGTTGCGCGGTGCTTCATTGCTCAGTCCATGCATATACCCATTCCAGAACAAGACCTTTCGCCAAGTCTTGAGTATACCTAGAGAGTAAGCCAAGCGAATCCGGAGCAAACCAGGGGCCAACATCCACGAACGGAAGAAGAAAACAACTGAAAGTCTGTAGCTATCGATAGGAGGAACTCTTATCTTTGCATGCCGAATCTTTGTCTAGTATTTGTGACAGCGTTTCCCTGCATTTGATATGGGGCCAACTACTATCCTGATTCGATGTGAGGCAGAATGCAAATACAATCAATGTATAGTAGAGAAAACTTGTGTGCAAGACCATTCCAAGTTACCATACCTTAGCTGCCTGCTCTCAACCCATGCCATTGCTTATCTATTGGTTTTGGAGTCCGAGCGAGTGAGTCAACCGACTCAACCCATGCAGTAGTAAGCATGACCGGCGCGCCAACCACGTTTAGTGACCTGTCGGGGTTTCCGTGAGACGGGCGGTTGCAGGGTCTAGTTCTGGGTAAGTTAACTTATTTTCCCCCTCTCACTACGTATTAACTAACTAACCGCACCGCATTTCCACTTTGCCTTTCGGTCTTGTCTTCTCTGCCAGCCAAGCTGCAATCTGCCCGTTTATCAGATGCAGTCTACGTATACTTTGAAGTTTGTCATCCGTCACTTCACTTGCGTGTGATTAAACTTAGTTATTGTCACTGTCTTTACGTCAGCTGTGTGTGTGCCTACATACTGACCGCCTTCGAGGTGATAACGGAGATAATAACCTATCCTACCTATCCTACCTATCCTACTCTTACTACTCCGTACCCTTTGTTTCGCAAAGTCGTTTCTTCACTTCAATTCTACTAACTCCAACTACGTGCCTTTTCAGGTATCGACCAACCTGGGCTTGGCTATTCTCTCTTCTGTCTATCCCTGATATATTCTTAAACTCGATAAGCCCGGCTTGACCGGCTGCTTGCCTTTAATTCTCCCAAGTTCGACCCGCAAAGGCAGTTCGCCGATCGTGCCCCTCATTGGATCTCTTCTCTGCCTCCTCCTCGTCTTGTTGTTCGGCACTTTCTTTTCTTTTCGTTTCGATCCGTGTGCAACGTGATCCTTTGTGCCGTTGTTTTCAAGGTCGAGTCAACACTAGCCCGTGTCTTCCAAATCTGTTCAACCCCGACGGACAGCGGTCTTCTTCGGTCGCCCATCGCCGCGCGCCCCTCGATCGTACCATTAAGCCTGCTCGATCGCGTTCAGCGCAACTATCGCGATCAAACCGCTGGATCGATTATTGTTGTGCAATACGGGTTCTTGATAAACAGGGCGGGTTCTGGTTACGCTCGCAGACTTTCAGAGGGCTGCGCGCCGATTACTTGAGTCTTGTCATATTGTCCATCACATTCATTGACAACTTGCGCCGTCGACCGGACAGACTTCCAACCTCTACAGTGTCCGGACCAGATCCCTTCAGACATATTGGCGCCGAAATCCTACGCGATACCCAGCAGGTTCAATAGTCGTCTCTGGGCAGGCCATTCTTTCTCCCCCCGCATTTTTCGTCCGAGCTACTCTCGCAAGCACTGTTTCTCAGGTGATTGTTATAATATAGCTCAATATGTCTCCGACACCCCCATCCACAACCTCGTCGAGCGCTGGCGCATTCTCCCCAGAAGGACAATTCAGAGTCATCAGGAAGAGAAATCGAGTTCCCCTCTCATGTGCGCCATGTCGGCATCGAAAGTAAGCACCTGCCTCGCTGGCCACCTTTCCATTTGTGCTAACAGTGGAGTCATCAGGCTGAAATGCAACCGTGCCCATCCCTGCGAAAACTGCATCAAGCGGGGTGATGCGACTTCGTGCTCATACGCTCAAGCAAGTGCGCGAAAAAAGAATGTGTCGCAGCCGTCAGCTGCGAGCTCTCCAGATGATATGCAGAATAGGATTGATCGACTTGAGAGCCTCGTCCTATCGCTCATGACTAATGGTTCCCAGTCTGCAGGACCCGCAGCGGCCATGGCTGCGATTTCCGGCAATAGCAGCAGCACGGGGTCTGTACCGAACACGGTCGATATCGATGTGGAAGATGAAACCCCCGGCGGCCCTGAGGACAGTGATACCGAGCAGGTCACCAAGTCGTTTGGAATCATGAAGTTTGACAACAACAAGTCCTATTATATCAGTGAGGTACATTGGGCATCGGTCCTCAGCGATGTAAGTTGCCTGCGCGCACCAGAGCTATCGCCAGCGATTAACGCCTGCTTCAGATTGCGGAAGTGCGAAATTATTTCCACACTCACAAGAAGCAATACGAGGAGCAGACGGAGAAGCTGAAGACAACCCAACTCCCGACTGACGTCCAAGGTTCCGCTCTACTCTTTGGGGCAATGAAACCCGCGACTCGGGCGGAAATCATGTCTTCCTTCCCGTCTAAATATACGACCGATATGCTGATCGCGCGCTATTTCAGCTGCTATGACCCATCAACACGTAAGTCAGACGGCCTTTTGCTTATACCTTATGTCAGTACTCACTTCGAAGTAGACATTCTTCATGGGCCCACTTTTCAGACACAGGTAAGACTCATCTTTTCATCACCCTATACTAAAACCGTATCGCTAATTCACCTAGTATAACAAACATTGGGAAGATCCTTCTCAGACTTGCACGATATGGATTGGCATGCTGTTTGCCATGATGCGACTAGCCATGCTCTCGTACCATCGCAATGGAGACGAACCCCCGGAATTTCGGGGCAAGTCCCTGGACATGGCTGGAACCTTCAGAAACCTCGTGGCCCAGTGTCTTACGCTGGCTGATTATACTAAACCATATCCGTACGTCATTGAAAGTTTAATCTTCCATCTTCATGGTGACTTCTGTCAAACCAGGGAAGCAGATGTGTCGGTGTGGGTTCTCGTGGGAGTGATCGCGCGCCTGGCTATGAGGATGGGCTACCATCGAGACTCCAAGATGTTCCCAAACATTACACCGTTTCAAGGAGAAATGCGGCGTCGCGTGTGGACCTTTGTACGGCAGGCGGACCTATTGTTCTCCTCTCAAGTGGGGTTGCCCAGCATGATCCGTTCCACTGACAGTGATACTGAGCTCCCTCGAAATCTGTATGATGACGACTTTGATGAGAATTGTCAAGAACTTCCGCCTTCCCGTCCAGCAAATGAACCGACGCCGATATCGTTCTTGATTGCTAAAGCGCGGCTGACGTACACTTTCGGCCATGTCAGCGAGCATACTTCACGTTGTCAGACTGCAACGTCTTATGACAAGGTGATGGAGCTTGATGCGGAGCTTCGTCAAGCTCGCGATCTGATCCCGGAGCACCTACTCGTGCGTCCTATCGAAGATTGCCCATTGGACTCTCCAAACTTGATCATGTCACGATTTGCGGTAAGTTCTGTCCTCGTTGAGATGTTCTGTGCAGCATTGACCATTTCTAGGTTGCGAGCGTGTATCACAAAGCACAATGCGTGCTTCATCGACAATACCTTGTACGAGCACGTGAGAACCCTCGATTTAGTTACTCGAGGCGGACCTGCCTGGACTCTGCAATGGAGCTGTTGCGATTTCAGTCCATGCTTCATGACGAGACTCGGCCCACAGGTCGTCTACGCAGCAGATACAACAAGCTAACCTCACTTGGCTCTTCCGACTATTTGCTCGCTGCAACCATTCTTTGCCTTGACCTCTATCATGGACAGCAACTCCAGGCATCGGGTCGAACCTCTAGTGATCCTTACTCCTGGACTAAGGAACGTCGGGATGAGATGGTGGCTGCGCTCCAACGAACCCGAGAAATCTGGGACGAGCTTCGCGATGAGACTATCGATGCATGGAAAGCTGCCGGAGCTCTGGGAGTAATGCTTGCCAAGCTGAATTTGGGATTTTCAGAAAGTAATACCGCGCCTGCGCCGGCCTTTGAGCCACAGGATGAGAAACAAAGCGCCGCAATGACATTGGGGCTCCTGAGCAGTGGAATGAGTCCTATGGCTTCGAGCCAATCGACGCTCAACGACCCTGTATACAAGATGGCAGACACGCAAATGCCCATGCAAAGTGGTTTTGCAAACGCGGCAGAGATTCCGGGGGCACCTTCACCGTTCAGCGCGATGTTTGGGCAGGTGCCCGACATGCAGTTGAACCTGGACTGGGTAGGCTAACCCACCAATCTCTTGGAAAAAGAATTCATGGCTGATCACAATCATAGGACGCTTGGGATACCTATATTCAGAGTTCAGCGATGGATATACCTCCACAATGGTGGCCATCGGGAGACATGCAACAGCAGCAACCGGGTCAAAGTCCTCTGTCTTCAGCACAATTGCCAGCCACACAAAACAGCGGTCCTGACCGCATGCGTTCTATGCCTCGTGGCCCGAACATATTCTCCCCTGATGCTAACAGCTATGAGGGCAGCAATGTTGGCATGTCGACGGCAGGCTATTCTGTCAACCCATCTCCTCTCAACAATCCAAGTAGCGGTCCGGGGACCTAAGCAACGATGTTGTTCAAGTTCCTTCGTGTCTGCCTTTCTAGGACCTGACTACATTTAATGAATCAAAAGTTGGTCGGGAATCTGGATTTCAATTTATATGAATTGTATTTGTGTCGTGCTAAAAGCTCTGCAGGACTAATCTTCAGCTTCACAGGATGGCGAATAGGACGCGGTTGGATTCAAAGGCTGGGCTGGGCTCTTTCTAGTTGGTTTCTACAGCTATAATCATAATCGTGCTCTATGATTGAATCAACATGGATATTCGATTGAGAATTGGATGTATATTACACAAAGACACGTCACGATAGGTCATGCAAATACTAGTCATCTACACTCTATATTGGAGTCCTTAGTTGTTGACGGTAGCTCATGCTCGTCTGCAGGTTTTAGTGTATCGTACTCTATTGAACTCGCAAGAACAGAGGCAAACACAGAACTTAGAGGTCTTTCCTCCGACTATGTTCAGGTCTATTCGGGATATTTCCTTCATTTATAGCTATTATTTATGTAGCATGCATTTCAGGAGATACTGGAGCCACGGGCAACATGCATTCCGGCGCAGCGACTCCAATGGTCGATTACACATTAGGCATGGTCTGCTGATATCACATCACGTGACTAACTGATAAGGGAAGTTTTCGTTGCTGAATTCCCCGAAGCATCGCCTTGCCACAAATTCTTTGGGTTGAGAAAACTTCATTCTTTTCCATCCTTTTTTTCAAAATTTGATTCATTTTTCAAACACAAAAATGTGAGTCCGGCTATCACTGCCTTTTGCCATTGGTAGTATTCGTCTAACAGGATTGGATTCATGCAGGTATTGCTTCCGCCAGGCAGCCTCTCGGCTGTTGATTGCTCCTAGCAGAGTCGCGATTCGCTCTGTACCGCGCTCCAACGCGAACAGCCCTTTGCGCCTTGCTTTCGCCAGCAGACCTGTCCAGTCTCAGCTTCAAAGCCGGTGGAACAGCGATGATGCTCAGAACAAGCCCGTAGCTCCCAGCACCAACGAGCAGTCTCCCGAGACCAGCAACGAGAGCATCGTCGAGGCTGTTTCGCAGTACGCCGATCAGAAGGAGAATTTTTCTGAGCAGGCCGAGGAGCCTTTCGCTCCGGAAGCCCGGAGACAACGTTTCTACCAGCGGGATAACTCTGGCAATGGCGAATCTGGGGTCCGCAGATACAGATCAAACATCGCCAGGGAGGAGCCAGAGCCGAAGACCACCATTTTCATTGGAAACCTTTTCTACGACGTCACGAGCGATGATCTCAGACGATTCTTCATGAAGTTCGGAGAGGTGCAGAGAGTGCACCTCATCCATGACCAGCGGGGAATCAGCAAGGGGTAAGCGCACAAGTTCTCGTCCTGAATCTCAAACATTGCCGCGTGTGCATATTCTGACTTTGGGGTTGTCTTTTCACTTAGATTCGGTTATGTGGATTTCGAATCGATCGAGTCGGCTCAGCGTGCCATCGAAGAGATGCACCTGCAGATCTACGAGGGACGTCGTATCAGCGTCATGTTCGCGCAGAACGGCATGAAGAAGCACAAGGTGTCGCCCCCTTCGAAGTCGCTCTACATCGGCAACCTGCCCTTCGAGATGACCGACCGTGATCTCAACGATCTGTTCAGCGATGTGGTCAACGTCATCGACGTGCGCGTGGCTATTGACCGCCGCACCGGACAGCCCCGTGGTTTCGCCCACGCCGACTTCGTTGACCTCGAGAGTGCGCGCAATGCCATGGAGGCCCTCAGCCAGAAGATGCCCTATGGAAAGAAGTTGCGCCTGGACTACAGCTCCAAGCACAAGGGCATCAACAACCCTAACTCGCGCCAGCACGAGCAGCAGCAGGAGCAGCCGGAGCAGCAGGAGTAGGGGTTGCGTCGTTGTCCCAGATACTCACTCCACTTGGCCTACATTGAGGTGTAACAGTCTTGAGTGTATATCAAGTTCATCCTTATCATGTATATTACATAATTATGTCGTACAGTCCATTCCATTCATCACTTCCTGGTCCGTACATACCACGTAGGCTTAGACAGATGGAAACTAAGTAAATAGTAGGACACACGTGACTTCCGGGGAGCCTCGGTATCTTTCCGCCGGTCGGCAGCGAAGCCGCGCCGAAACCCCACGTCTCTGTGCTTAGAGAGCCATCTCGGGGCGAGTCTCCTCACTTGTTCCTCTCCCCACTCTCTCTCTCTCTCTCTTCTCTCTCTCTCTCTCTCTCGCCGTCTTATCTCTCCCCCCTCCCTCTCTCTTCTACCACTGGTTCTCCCTTGTCCTATTTTCAAAACATATGAACTATTCTACGTGAGGACTGAATAGCGCGGTCGCTGCACATATTACCACAACATGTCGTTCCTTGGTGGCGCCGAGTGCTCTACAGCCGGAAACCCGCTGACGCAGTTTACAAAGCATGTTCAAGATGACAAGTCCCTGCAACGTGATCGCCTCGTCGGACGCGGTCCGGGAGGCATGCAGGAAGGCATGCGGTCTAGAGGAATGATGGGTGGTCAAGATCAGGTAGGTATCTCCATGTTTTCAAACACACCCCACCCTCTCCTCAGCCTCCCCGCGGGGAAGAGGGCGTGGCCCACTGCGGTGGTTCCCATTCAACTAATGATCGTTATTTCGAATGTGTTAGATGATGGACGAATTTTCTCAACAACCCGGCCAACTACCGGGCGCTAGCCCTCAGCCCTTCGCGATGGAACAACTCAGACGTGAACTGGACCAGTTTCAGAACGCACCCCCGCGGACAGGATCTCCGGGCTGGGCGGCGGAGTTCGATGCCGGTGAGCATGCACGGATGGAGGCCGCCTTCAATGGGTCCCAAGGTCCGATGATGAACGCTCCCGCGGGATTCAACCCGGCCGAATTCGCCCGATTCCAACAACAGAGTCGAACTGGCATGCCCCAGGCGGCTCACCCCTCCGTCGCCTCCGCCCCGTCCCCGATGCTGGCTGGTTACCAGCGCCCTATGGGCTACATGGGCATGGGGGGTATGGGGATGATGCATCAGAACTTCGGCCCGATGGCCATGCACCAGCAGCAGCAGCAACCGGCCGAGGCCGTCACGCAGGACAAAGGCAAGGGGCGGATGGTGGAGCTCGATGACGAGAACTGGGAGGCGCAGTTCGCGGAGATGGAGACGGCGGATACCCAGACGCTGGACGATGCGGCCAACGCAGCCATGGAGGCAGAGCTGAATGAGCTGGACAGGTCAGTCCCCACCACCACCTCCACCACCACTACTACCGCCAATGAGGAGAGTTTCGATGCGTTTGAGAACGTGTGGCAAAGAGTTCAAGCTGAGGCGGCAGTAACTAGGAAACTGGCGGACGGTGAGACCGATTTCAACATCGACGAGAACCTTCACATGGGCGATATGGGTGACTGGGATGGATTCGAGACCCTCAACACGCGGTTCCGCAACCCGCAACTAGGCGAGTACCTGTTCGAGGAAGACAATGTTTTCCAGAATGTCAACAACCCATTCGAAGAAGGTGTCAAGATTATGAGGGAGGGTGGCAACTTGTCTCTGGCTGCGCTGGCCTTCGAGGCGGCGGTCCAGAAGGACCCACAGCACGTACAGGCTTGGACGATGTTGGGGACCGCGCAGGCCCAGAACGAGAAAGAACTGCCCGCGATTCGAGCTCTGGAGCAAGCCCTGAAGATCGATGCTGGCAACTTGGATGCGCTCATGGGTCTGGCCGTCTCTTACACAAATGAGGGCTACGATTCTACCGCCTACCGTACTTTGGAGCGCTGGCTCTCCGTCAAATACCCGCAGATTATCAATCCCAAGGATGTATCCGAAGACGCTGACCTTGGGTTCACGGATCGTCAGCTGCTCCATGACCGGGTCACCGATCTCTTCATCCAGGCTGCTCAACTGTCTCCGTCGGGTGAGCAGATGGACCCGGACGTGCAGGTGGGTCTGGGTGTCCTGTTCTACTGCGCAGAAGAGTACGACAAGGCAGTCGACTGCTTCTCGGCTGCGCTGGCCTCGACGGAGTCTGGAACTACCAACCAGCAGGAGCAGCTGCATCTACTCTGGAACCGTCTCGGTGCCACGCTGGCCAACTCCGGTCGGTCCGAGGAGGCCATCGAGGCGTACGAGCAGGCGCTGAACATCAACCCCAACTTCGTCCGGGCTCGCTACAACCTGGGCGTTTCCTGCATCAACATTGGCTGCTACCCGGAGGCCGCGCAGCACCTCCTGGGCGCTTTGTCGATGCACCGGGTCGTCGAGCAAGAGGGTCGGGAACGGGCGCGCGAGATCATCGGCGGCGAGGGAGGCATCGCCGACGAACAGCTGGAACGCATGCTCCATGTCAGCCAGAACCAAAGCACCAACCTGTACGACACGCTGCGGCGGGTGTTCAGCCAGATGGGACGGCGGGACCTGGCCGATCAAGTCGTGGCCGGGATGGACGTCAACGTGTTCCGGAAGGAATTCGAGTTCTAGAGCGGTTCTGCTGGCAGGAAGCATAGAGAGTTTGAATTTGATCAGATTTATTCATGTATGTATGTTCCTTTTGAAATGAGGTGATGGGGGTAGATGAGATACCAATTGTAGCAGCATGGCAGCATAGCAGCAGAGCAGCAGAGCAACAACATTTGAGACTATACAATACAAGATTGTGCGGCTGCAGAAGATAATCAAGAATGCATGAGATTTGATCTCCTCTATAGAGAGTATACCGACTTAAATCGAAATAATCATGCTAAGTGTTGAAGTATGGCTGCCTCGGGCATGAAACCGGCTGTTGCTGTTGCGTCATGCCGATGAATGAGAGAATGAATGGATGGATGGATGGATGGTTGTGCCTCGGCCATTTAGTTCCATTGTTACTCGTACGTACAACTTCACTTCGCAGCTGCCTATCTTTCCCCACACCCCCCAACCCCAACTTTTCCCCTGGGACTGCTGAGCAGCCAGTCACTTGTCCTTTTTTCTTTTTACTCACTGCTAACAATTCAGCCCTATATTAATTAAAATCTATCCTGCCAAGCTGCCAAGCTCTTAATCACACTCCCCCCCCCCAAAAACCCAAAAAAACAATGGCTGCTGTCACCGGTGCCCAGATCATCGCCCGGACGCTGCGCGATCTCGGCGTCACCGTGATCTTTGGTATAGTCGGCATCCCCGTCGTGGAGATTGCCGAGGAGGCCATCAATCTGGGCATTCGATTCGTGGCCTTCCGCAACGAGCAGGCTTGCAGCTATGCCGCCAGTGTTTATGGATACATGACCGGACGACCCGGTGTCTGTCTCGTCGTGGGAGGACCGGGCGTTCTCCATACTTTGGCCGGGGTGAGTTGTTTTCCATCTCTGGGTGCTGCTATCTACGTGATGTGTCTCCTTGGCTTTATTGAATTCATACCTATCTATCCTCTCGTGCTAACTAAAGCCGATTCCCCCAAAATAGATAGGCAATGCAACCGCCAACAACTTCCCCTTACTGGTGCTGGCCGGTTCGGCCGAGACCACCGCAATCACCAAGGGCGCCTTCCAGGAACTCGACGCCATCTCCTTCCTGACGCCGCACACCAAGCTGGCGGTGCGCGCCTCCTCGCTCGACTTCATCCCGGGGGCGGTGAAGAACGCCTACCGGACCTGCTGGTACGGTCGTCCGGGCCCGACCTTCGTCGACCTGCCCGCCGACATCATTCAGGGTCGCGCTGCGGCGGACCACCAGCGGCTGCTGCTGCCTCCACCGGAGACCCTGCGGGTGCCCGCGCCGCCCAAGGCCAGCGGCGACCCGGCGCTGATCCTCAAGGCGGCGCAGCTGCTGAAGACGGCCCAGGCGCCGCTGCTGGTGGTGGGCAAGGGGGCCGCGTACGCGCGGGCCGAGGCCCAGCTGCGCCAGCTCGTCGACCGCACGGGGCTCCCGTTCCTCCCGACCCCAATGGGCAAGGGGGTGTTGCCGGACTCGCACGCGCGCAACGTGTCGAGCGCCCGCAGCGCGGCGCTGAAGCACGCGGACGTGGTGCTCGTGCTCGGCGCCCGCCTCAACTGGATCCTCCACTTCGGCGAGGCGCCCAAGTGGTCCCCCACGGCCAAGATCATCCAGGTCGATCTGTGTGCCGAGGAGATCGGGCGCAACGCCGGCGCCGCGGAGCTGGGCATCGTCGGCGACATCTCCTTGGTCGTGGACCAGCTGGTCGCCGCCTTGGCGAATTGGCGCTATGCTCCGGTCGCTGGTGCTGGTGGTGCCTCTGACAAGACCTTCCTGGACGTGCTGGATGCATCGATCAAGAAGAATACACAGACCGCGGCCCAGGCGGCCAACCGCCCGACCCCGAAGGATGCCCCGATGACGTACCAGCGGGCCTTCCACCTGATCAAGTCGACGCTGGACGAGCTGACTCACAAGGCAGGCAGCGACGCGGTGTATGTGTCCGAGGGCGCGAACACGATGGACATCTCGCGGTCCATCTTCAGCGTCGACCACCCGCGCCAGCGACTGGACGCAGGGACCTACGCGACAATGGGCGTGGGGATGGGGTATATCGCCGCGGCGCACGAAGCGTACAACGCGATGCCCGGGGCAGCATCAGGAGCTTCCTCCCCGTCGAAGCCGAAGAAAATCGTCGCCTTCGAAGGCGACAGCGCCTTCGGGTTCAGCGCCATGGAGATCGAGACCCTGGCGCGGTACCGCATCCCCGCGCTGATCTTCGTGGTCAACAACTCGGGCATCTACCACGGGGACACGACCTCGGCGGCTGAGTGGACGACGCTGCAGGATCAGACGGCGCGGAATGATACCAAGGCGAGCGGGGAGGGGACGCGGGGCCTGCGGTCGACCAGTCTGCTGTATGAGACCCGGTATGAGATGTTGGCGACCATGTGCGGCGGCCGGGGGTTCTTTGTGCGGACGGAGGAGGAGCTGGTCGCGGCCACGCGGCAGGGGTTCGCGAGCGAGCAGGTCACGGTGGTGAATGTCATTGTCGAGCCGGGGATTGGCAAGAAGATTGGTTTTGCGTGGCAGAATAATGGTGAGCGTGAGCGTGAGCCGGAGCCGCAGGCGAAACTTTAGGTTGCGCTCGGAGTATATAACAGTTACGTATAGTTTGTATAATGTCTCACATTAGCAGTATCTCGCCATGCTATTCTTTATTACCATTACCTGTGATTTGAGTTCCGCATAGCCATAGTATTTATATGTATGTAGGTTGATATACAACTTCATATACCCAATGCCTCCCCCCCAAGAAAGAGAAATCTACCTCAAAAGCTCATCCAAAACCTTAGCCACAGCAACCGCCTTCTCCTCCCCGAACTTACCCCCAACCACCTGCACCGTAACTGGCATATCCTTGACCAGATCGATATCGTCTGCCAGAAATGATGTTAGCCCAGCTCCAACCCTAACCCTCCCTCCCCCAAGTCCCTCCCCCAACACCAGCCTCCCAAAGGAACCAAGAGAACGAAAGGGAAAGGAAAACCAACACTGCAAATAATTAAACCGATCCGACTCATTGCGGGGCACATGCTCGCGCCATGCCCGGTTGATCTCGCTATCGCTGTTACTCTCTGGATGATCCACCCCCGCATCCGCACAGGTCACCGGCACCGTGACCGCGGCGTAATCCAACAAATTCCACAGCGCCGTGTACCCGAGCCACTGGGCGCTGACGACCCAGGATTTGGGCCGGTAGCCGACCCAGGGCGTCACGGGCATGAGGAGGGCGTCGATACCGCTGGTCGTCCAGTGCGATAGGTAGGTTTCTTGGTAGGTGTATTTTGTTTCTTCGAGCTGGGCCTCTCGTTACTACCTGTGTATGATGGGGGGAAGGGTTGATAGGTGAGGTGATGGAACAGAAACAGGAACAGGAACAGGAACAGGAACAGGGGAACTACCTTCTCCCTCTCCTCCACCGACAACTCATCCTCCGACGTCCCCACGACCATCCCCTCGATCAACGGCTCCCCGACAATGTCGCACAGGTACCGACAGTGTTGGCCGCCGTCGGCCAGGATGGCTTTCGTCCAGAGGGCGGTGCCTTCTTTGTGGAGGGCGGTGGCGGGCCAGGGGATTACTTTCCCCGAGTGAGAATTGGTTAGTATGAGACCGGGTGGTGTGTACGGGCTTGAACATCTAGGTTGAAGTGAATGGAAGGGAAAAGGCAAGACATACCCTCATGCCCGGCATCCACCAACTTCCGCTCGACCTCGCGCATCGCCCGCGCAATGGGCGGCTGCGGCTTGACGACCCCGTCGTCGTGGATGATCGCCACGCGCAGTTTCCGGTGGGCGGGTGTCTGGGCCAGCTCCGCGCGCCAGGGGATCGGGATGCAGCCCGGGTCGAGGGTCCAGGGCTCCGAGGCCAGCAGGGTAGCCATGAAGTGCTCGATCGAGGCGAGGCTGCGCGCCATCGGGCCGGCGACGGGGGGCACCATGTAGTGTTGGTGCATGCTTTTTTTTTTGCAGACTGTTAGAGTTAAACAATTCCCGACACGTACCCCCCCCAGAGATATCCACCCCCTCCGGAGGAGAAAACTAAACATACAACGAACAATCCCAGGGAACCCTCCCCCTCGACGGACAAACCGAATACAACCCCTGCAAGTTAGCCGGGATGCGAATCGAGCCCCCGATATCCGTCCCAATCCCCAGCACACTGCCCCGGGTGCCAATCAACGCCCCCTCGCCGCCGGAACTCCCGCCGGAGATGAGTCGGCTGTTGAAGGCGTTGATCGACTGTCCGAAGACGTGGTTGTAGGAGTCGGACATCTTTCCAGCAGAACCAGCCCTAAATCAGCCAACCATCTCCAACCATCTCCCAAACCACCCTGGTGCCAGGAAAGGACAGAACAACATACCATAAGCGACTGCGGCACATTCGTCTTGACATACAACACCGCCCCCATCGACTCCAGCAGCCGCGCAATCGAGCTAGACTTTTTGGCCGGTTTGTTGATCAGTCCTACCCAGCCTTCACCCACACATCACAGCCCCCCCAGCATAAACGATTAGCCTCGCTCCCAACCCATCCCGAAGGAGTAAAAGAAAAACGAACCAACAGTCGTATCCACCCCCTCCAGATCAAACCGATCCTTGATCGACACCGGCAACCCATGCAGCGGGCCCCGCGTCCTCCCGCCCGTGCGGGCAAACTCCTCGTCCAGCCACCGCGCGCGCGCCAGCGCCCGGTCGAAGAAAATCTCCGTCAGGCATTTGGTCAGCTGCTGCGCCAGGGCGGCGCGCTTGCAGAAGGCCGTCGTCAGCTGCACGGAGGTGATTTCCCCGGACGCGAGGGCCTGGAGCAGCACGGTTGTGTCGGCGGTCTCGGTCCAGGCCAGTTCTTGCGCGGTGAGGATGCCGCTCGTGCGGATGGTGGTTAGGGTATCTTGTTCTTGGTCTTGGGGCCGGGGTTGGGGTTCGGTTTGGTCGGTGGTGGTCGGGGTGGGAGGTGGGTTGGAAAGACGCCAGGCTTCGGGGATGGCGGCTAGTTGGGCCTGGCGTTTGGCGTAGACGGTGGGTTTCCAGGTGGGGATTGTGGGGGTTGTTGGAGATGGAAGGAGGGTGGTTTGGGTCATTGTTGTTTTTGCTGTTGCTTGTTGTGTCTGTGTCTGTGTCGGTGGTTGGGAGGTTTGGGGTTGTAAAGTGAAGTGAAGGGTATGAGTTGTATAGTTGGGGTGGTGGGGGAGTTTATGGTTATGGTTTCGGAACGAGGGGAAATCAATGGAAATGGAGCGGGGTTCATGCGGAGAAGTCTATAAGGTAGTTTACCTGCCAGTGGAATGCTATACACAACCATCAAATACTCCGCAGTCATGAAAGATAGGAGATAATCATGGATCAATCGGATTGGGTACAGCACTCCCCCACCCCTGGCAGCATCATCGCTATCTACTCCGGAGTATGTCAGAATGTATCCTCAACCACGGTAGCACGCCAATCATTCAATAGATTCAGCTATCTATCATCTGCAGATTGCCGAGTTCCGGATACCATAGCCGTCGAGATAAGATAGTAGGCCATGCTTGGTATCTTCTATCGTACACCGTACACCTCATAGTTGACCCCAACCCTCACTCAAACAGTCATCAGCATGCTGGCGTTCTTGTACCACGCCAGCATCGGATTCTCCCCGTTCCGCGTCTCCGTGTCTGCAATGTACGCCCAGCGCTGCATGAAGTCTTCGTGGCTCACCACCTGCGTCAACTTGCCGGTGATCGCCCGGTACATGTCCTCAATCACATTGAAGTCGGTCGGGAAGAAGATATCGAAGTATCCTTGTTGGACCTGCGTGCCAGTCAGAAAACGTTCCTCAAAACTTCAGACTAAATCTCAAGACCAGACTTACATAAGGGGTCGTCACAGGAATGGTGCGCCGCTCGAATCGAGTCTGCACCACCGGTCCATTCAGCCCGCGCACGGCGTCCGGCAGCGAGCTGAAGTCACTCGCCACCAGCCGGTGGCCCGGGAAATAGTTGTTGAGGATGTCGAAGAACTGCATGAGCCGCGTTGGGATGTACTCCGGCTGCGAGAATTGGCCCGCGGCCGGCAGGTACGACCGCAGCGCCCGCATGTACTTCGGCCCCAGAGGCGACGGGAACGGGCGCCGGGCAGCCGCCTGCCGCACGCGCAGGAACCGCGCGGCCACCGGGTCCAGGTAGTCGCGGTACCATTCGTGGAACTCGCCGTCCGCGTCGATCAGGACCCCGCCCTGCTGCGGCTGTTCCGTCTTGAGGTCGTAGCGGATGATGTCGTGGGAGAAGTTGTCGAACACCTCCAGCGCCAGGAAGAAGCACGGCGAGTGCACGTAGGTGTTCCAGTCGAAGATTGACCGGTTGATGATTTCAAGGCGGTCCCGATGGCCGGCCGACTCGGCCGAGGCGACCAGGTTCTTCAGCTGCAGACTCGCCAGCGCCGGCGAGATCTCGATGATCTTGTACTTCGTCCGCTGGTAGACCTCGTAGTCCACCTCGCGGATGTAGTCTAGCACGTTCCGCATCATCGTGCCGTTTCCGGCGCCCATCTCGTAGATGATCAGATCGTGGTACGGGTACAGCGTCAGTTTATAGTTCGACACCAGGTACCGAGCAATCGTCTCGCCGTAGTAGGGTTGGAAGAGCTCCGTCGGGGTATGCCACAGCTGGCGGGCGACGTCGGGCTCGGCTTCGTCTAACCGGTCCTCGAACTCCGTGTAACGATTCTGTAGCATGGTGTGAAACGCGGGCCCATCGGCGATGTCGTTGAAGATGAAGGGCTCCCCGGGGCTGAAGATGGTGGCATGTTGGGAGAAGTAGCCGTACTGGAGATTGTACAAACTGTCTGTGAGAGAGAGCACCCGAGTATGTTAGCGGTCGTCTAGTTGCAGCAGCTAGCCATCACGACGACGATTTTCCTTACCATCGATGAACTCCCGTCCCCACATCTTCACCTGCCGCGGCCGCTCGCGGTGATGACGGAGTTCTTTGGCCGTGACCATCGGGTATTTCTGCAATTCCTCCGAGATGTCTCTGGTGATAAAGCGACGCTCGTTCCAGATCGTGCCATCGTTGGAGGCTTTCTTGTTGGCGGAGACTTTCCGGAGGAAGGGTCGACATTGTTGACGGTGGTGCGGATGGGATGGGGACAGGCGTACGCAACCGGGTCGGCGCGCGGAGAGGGAAGGAGTAGATTTGAAAGATTGACAGGCGGGATGTCGAAATAACTGCCGAAGCAGTTGATTGAGGACTGGAGAGTCCATGGGAAGGAGGTAGATGATCGCTCGTGGGGCGGTAGCACAATGCACTCCGTCGAAAAAGAGGAGCAAGAGAGAAAGCTCGGGGAGAGCACGAGACGAGATGGAAGACGGACGGAGAGACGGCGAGGCGGAGAGGCGGCGGTCGCGCAACGGTTGGTCCAAGCTTTTCTTCCGCCCGCCATCAATGCAATAACTCGCCCTCGTCTTTCACCATTTGTTGGACTGGACCCCCCTCTTCTCCGTGATTATGGATGATCATTCTCGTCTCTACATTGGCACTGCCTTCGTCGCAGGTGTCCTTCTTACCATTGGATTCAAGGATCTGGTGTACCCCGAGTTAGAACAGCGCATTCATGAATATCTAGCTTGTCGTCAATCCCAGCCCGCGGCAGACTCCGAGGAGCTCTCCACCGAGACTCTCGTCGCAAGACCAGGTCCACCGGCCGTTGTTGAGGGCATTGAAGGTTGCATCGGCAATACCCCCCTCTTTCGTATCAAATCCTTATCCGATGCAACGGGCTGCGAGATATTAGGCAAGGCCGAAGTACGTCATATGCCTCTCTACCTCAGGTCTACGTCTGGGGAAAGACAAAGTTGCTCAAGAAGTTGCTGACTTGGTTTCTAGTTTCTAAATGGAGCTGGCCAGAGCTCTAAAGACCGGGTCGCGCTGAGCATGATCCAAATTGTATGGCAGGTCCTTTCCATGACATACCGGGATAAATGTCTCACACTCCACACAGGCTGAAGAGCACGGATTCCTAAGACCTCATTCCGGGGACACCATCTACGAAGGCACTTCTGGATCCACGGGCATCTCCCTAGCCTCTTTGGCACGAGCCAAGGGCTACCTGGCCCATATGTTCGTATTACGTCGATAGCCACCGCATAGTCATATACTGACACAGCCATAGCTGCATGCCTTCCGACCAAGCTATTGAGAAGTCGAATCTGTTGTTGAAGCTTGGGGCGATAGTGGACCGCGTGCCACCGGCCCCCATTGTCGAGAAAGATAATTTCGTCAATCGCGCACGCTCGCTTGCCCAGGACCAAACTGCATCCTCCACCGCCAGCGGGAGAGGATTCTTTGCGGACCAGTTCGAGAATGAAGCCAATTGGCGAGCCCACTACAACGGCACAGGGCCCGAGATTTATGCTCAGTGTAACGGAAAATTGGACGCCTTTATTGCTGGGGCGGGCACAGGTGGCACCATCTCCGGTGTGGCACTTTTCCTGAAGCCGCGCATCCCCAATCTCAGTGTAGTCCTAGCCGATCCTCAAGGCAGTGGGCTGTACAACAGAGTCCGTTACGGGGTCATGTTCGACCTCAAAGAAAGAGAAGGCACCAGGCGACGTAGACAGGTGGACACCATTGTCGAGGGCATCGGGATCAACCGAGTGACAGCTAACTTCGAAGCGGGCAAGGAGCTGGTCAACGACGCTGTTCGGGTGACCGATGCACAGGCCTTGGCAATGGCTAGATGGCTTGTAGAGAAGGACGGTCTGTTCGTGGGTAGTAGCAGTGCCGTAAACTGTAAGTCTTTCCCAAAGATCTTATGTTCACCGGATTGTGGCTAAACCACCCTACTACAGGCTTCGCTGCCGTCAAGACAGCAATGAAGCTTGGCCCCGGCCACAGAATTGTGACGGTTCTGTCCGACTCAGGGTCACGCCATCTCTCACGGTTCTGGGCGAAGGCAGGAGACGTCGGGGGCGCGGTTGATACCAAGCTTGAAGATGTGTTAAATGCAACGGATGCCACGGATGAGGAGTAAGCGCGTGATATGTCAAGCCCACAATTGATCCACGAAAATTAGCCGGGGTTCACAATGAAGGACCAAGACACGGCAAGAGCATTGAAAGGGTTGACCCCTGGAGAGGCGGCGGCCAAAAAGCTACTTCCACTTATGGTTACTGCAGCTAGTGTCTGACAGGGGGTTGAATTTGTTCAGCTGCCGCCCAATCCGATAGTCGGAGATTTACTCGATTTCATCCGGTTGTGCTATGATAGCAGAACGCCATCGCTCGCTTCATCCGACCTAGCGGGTCACGACACGAATCTCGGGATCTGGAAACTTGACGTGCCAGGACCGATCGGCCCCGCTGACGGACTGCATGTCAGAATCGGGGTCCTGACTCAGTTGTGGTTCATCTGCTATTCGATTCGTCGGGACCGATCAAGCCTGCCGTCCATTCATTATGATTGCTGAACAGCATCACAGTGTATCGGTGCCAGCCCAGAGCTGCAACAACTCGAATTCGATCTCAGCATGTGGTCGGCCAGGTAGCCCTTCACGGATCGTGGTCCAGCTGAGGCCCTGTTGCTCTTTGAATTTGTCTAGAACGGCCCGCTCGGTCTCCGACCAAGGCTTGGACAATGACGGTGGATTGGCCCGGCGATCACTCCAGTGATTGCGATTCCATTGGATAAGCGAGGTCAGTTTGGTGTGCGGAAGGCAGTCGAGGATCTCGTTCCATTTCTTCCCCTGTACTTGTCTCATTGTGATGATCAGTCTCGCTTCATCGGGCTGGATGACATTTCGAGCACGTTTCTTAGTAGGAGTAGAGTTATCATCCACTAGTTCGTTTGCGCGCGAACCTGTTAGAATGTTTGGTGTGATAGATGTGGTAGTCTTGGACCTCGACTTCGGAGTGGGCTCTTTAGCCAGGGTATCGAGTCGGCGGGTCACCTCAGCCCGATCGTGTTGGCCGTCGAAGGGTCTGGAGGCAATCTCCCTGAGATGGGTAATGTAGCCGTGGCGCACGAAAACCTGCTTGCAATCCGAGCATTGATAGTTCAATTGACGCGGTGTATGATGTTCTTTCACGGGTGTCTTTCCGCGGACATGGATGCTCCGCTTAGGAGTCGGCGACGGTTCATAGTCTTCCTGCAACGGGTCGTCGGACTCGTCTCCTTCGGGGGTTTCTGCGAAGGACCAGTCGCAGACCACGGGGCTCGACTGGGTGACTTTCCTCTGCGGTTTGATTTTCATCGTTGCCCCTGCCTGGCTCTTTCGTGGAGCCCGTCGCGACTTCTCAGGCAATGACCATAGGGAGCCAGCTCCCGGTGGAGACTGCGAGCGAACGCGATTCACAGTGGACGCCGCCGGACGTGACCTGTTCCATGTCGGCGTGGAGAAGCTCGCGTCGATTTCAGGCACCCGCCATAGCTCCTCCACCGCCTCACTGCGCCTGTTGCTGTGTGATTGGGCGGTTGATTCAGCCGCAGGTTTTGCTTTTTCGCTCACGAGTTTGGTGGTGGTGGTGGATTGATCCCGGATGCTCTCGATGCGTAGCGTGTTATCCAGCAAGGAGTCCACACTAGCCCCATCGTCGTCGTCATCCACATGACTAGGTAGATTCGAGTCACGTTTGCCAGCATCTTCATCCCCAGCCGCCGGGTGGTGCTGAATCCGCAACCTAGCCTGCGGGTCCTGGATCGACGGCAGCACGGGAGATACAGGCCGTGAGCGATCATCATCCGGAGCCTCATAATTATCGAATCCCGCGGCCTCCTCCTCACCCGACAAATGACCAGGATTTTTAGGCAGGATTCCTTCCTCCGACGCGACAGACCACTCCTGCTCGAGTTGCCGCCAATCTGGTTTTGTCGTTGTGGAACGGGGGTCATCATTTCCGGCTTCTTCCTCCTCCCCCGCCTCTAGTTCTTGGATATGCCCATTATTCACAATGATTTTGCCCGTCTGTAGATCAATCTCATCGCCCACGTCCGTAAAGTCCCGGCCGTATTTCTCGAAAATGCCCTCGAATATGGACTTCAGGCGTTGGTCGTTCTGCGCCCGCGCTTCGTGGAGGTCGATTTCTTCCCCGCCGTCTTCCTCGGGTTCAACTGGTAATGCGAATCGGGCGCGCTTGGTGGGTCTCTCCATTTTGTGTAGGGAGGTTGCAAGCTGGTATAAGCTATCGAAAGTTTGGAGAGTATGAGAAGAAGTGTTGAGTGTTGAATCTGCGGAGCAGGGACGCTGAATGTAGGAGTTTTGGTTTGTGCAGTCGCGACTTTGAAGTGACACCGCTCAATCTGATAAACTGTTAGCTTGTGTTTCTCTGGTCGTAGTAAGAAAGGGAAGGTGCACAAATGAAGATAAGGAAAGAGTCAGCGAAAGGAGGAGGGGGAGTATGGCCTACATAGACGGTCAATTCTAAGTAAGAGAGTATGCGCTTTCATTCAACGACAGTGAGGTTGCAAATCGATGGCACAAGGCAGAGGACTAATCGCTGGTTAAAGAAGGTAGATAATCAAAATCTTCAGTCGCCAGCCTGGGTTCTGGTGTGGTTTGCCTTGAGGTGAAGCACGACCAATTGGTGATATTCGTATAGTGAAGGTTCGCCAGCTCTTTTTTGAAGGGCCCCGCGGACGAAGCCAAAAACACGCGGCGCGCGCACCCGCAATTCACCACCACCTCCACCACCGCCGGGTGCCGCATGACGTCTCGTCTGCCCCTGCCGAACCGACGGTTACACTCGACTTATCAGTCAGTTCACTTAGTCTTACAACAACAACACCCTTGATGTCCATCTTCCCTCCACCTCCTCTTCTCCACGCTGAGCTAGTACCCTCAACTTATCCAGACGAGGATGAATGAGAAGTTGCGGTCAACATCTTCGCAACCATGTATTGCCAGAACTGCCGCACGCCTCTCAAACTGGACGGCTCTCTCGAGTCGCTCAATCCCGCTGCCTTCGACCTGCTAGTCGGTAAGTGCAGTAATCACATTCCTCCACCATGTGTATCTGTCCAGCACTGAACTGACATGCACGCTTTCTGTAGGCTCTACGGGTAAATCTGTCCCAGAAAATGGCGCCCACTCTTCATCCAAGCCGAGCTACCCGCAAGAACGACGGGAGCTCTACGACCGGGTGTCCAAGCAATCCACGGCCCCCGTGTACAACCGAAGATCCATCCCCCCTCCGCGGCAGGCGGCTCGCAATCAACCCCATCCTGCGAGACTCGGTCGCGGCGATAGCGGGAACATGTCGTTCGTGAT